ACGAACACCACTAAGCAGCTTTAACTTTTAAAGTTTGTGTTCCTGTTTTTAAAATCTATCATGTGTGTTGTCTGCTTGATGTGCACGTATGGGCGTATGGGCGCACGTGCCATGGCGTACTTGTGGGGGTCAGAGGACAACTTTGTGCGGTTGCTTCTCTCTTTCTACTTTTATGTGGGTTCCACGGATCAAACTCAGGTTTCAGCACTTGTAGGGCAAGTGCCTTTACCTATTGAGCCATCTCACTGGACCCAGTTTTTAAAATTTTTTTGAAACAGTATCTCACTATGTAGCTCAAGTTGGCCCCAAGCTTGCTATGAAGACCAACTGGCTGTGTACTCCAAAGTGCTGGGATTACAGGTGTGTTCTACCACACCTGACTTAGCAGACTATCTGCATTGCCTGTCCACTGACTTTGATCGTGGCCCTCCATACACTAACCACATGGCCAGGTAGCTGTAATCAGTCTTAGTTCCCCGTTAACATTGATTTGCTCAGCTGGAACTTACTGGGTACTTTGTACTGTCAGCCAGTGCTAAAGAAAAACATTAGGAAAGATCTAAAGGATGGGAAGGAAGAGTGTTCTAGCCTGGACAGGATTCAATGTAGAAACATACACAAGTTCCAAAGCTTGTACGAAACAAATACAACATATCCTGAGATGGGAGGTTGGGAGATTGTCAGAAGATCTGTTGGATATCAGGTTACAAAGAACTCTGCAGGTTTTGTTAAGGAAGTGAAGGTAATGAGGAGCCCTTTAAGGTGAAACGGAAGGGGGTTTGGCTGGGCTAAACTACATTTCCCAGCATTCCTTTACTGTTTTGCTAGGGTTAGTGAGAAGAGATTTTTTTAAAAGAGGGCTATAGAGGATTAGAGTGAAGCTAACCTACCAACTCTCCTTGATGTGAGGCAGGGGGTGCGCAGCTTGGCCTTCACGTGGGTCCTGCAGCACCCCTAACTCCTTTAGGTATTTAGGTCCATGACAATGAGGGACCCTGGCTAGCTTCTGCCCATGCCATCAAAGTCAAATACAAGGATGGACAGATTTCAGTTCCTTCCTGTATTTGTGGGTCCTGGATGGCTATTAAAACTTTATAGCTGTCTTCCCTTTCTAGCACCTGCCCCAGGCTTCAACTCCAGCACCAGACGGTGGCCAGTAGTCACAGAGCAGTCAGGACACTTTGCTGCTCCCACCTGTGGAATGTCTGGTCCGTGTACCAAGTATATCCAACTGTGTCTGTTATTGGCTGTTTGCTCAGACTGGACCCCAACTGGTACAGGCGAAGGGGGATAGATGTTACAGGAGTGTCATTATCAGTTTCTTTTAGAATCGTACTGGCTATGGAATGAGGAAAAGACCCTGGGGAAGCTTGAGTCTGGTAGGAGAATAGAATCAGAAGAGTGTCACAAGTCTATATAAGAAAAGATGAAGTGGGGTGTGTTGACTCAAGTGTCTTCCAAAGTACAAAATCAAATGTGCTTTCTAAAGTCAACTCTACTAAGACATTCATGCACAACCCTCTTTAGTGTGCATCAGTAAATTCTCATACACATGTCTGCATATATGTAAACATGACTCAGTCAAAATGTAGAGCATTTTCATCACATCCACAATTCCTTTGTGCCTCTGTCACCTGAGATTTGGGGGTTCTTCCATGATGTCATGTCTGTTGTTCAAAACACAGAAAGCAGTAGTGAAAGTGTAATGTGGGGTGAGAGCGTTCACTTCAGATGGAAGGTGTGTGGGTCAAGAGCCCGAATTATTTTCCAGGTTCTCTTAAGAGTCTGAGCAAAAGCCAGGCATGGTAGTGCACGCCTTTAATCCCAGCACTTGGGAGGCAGAGGTAGAGGCAGGCAGATCTCAGGGAGTTCACGGCCAGCCTGGTCTACTTAGAGAGATCCAGGCCAGCTGGGGCTACAGGGAGACCATGCCTCAAAAAGACCGAAAAAAAAAAAAAAAGAGTCTAGGCAAAGAGGTGCAGATCCCCAGGCTTGAAAGATGGAGTGCTTTCTTCCCTTGATTGATGGGTTGTTATATAACTTTCCATAATCTATGCGTATGTGGACATACATCTCATAAGTATGCATGAGGTGGTAAATGGGTTCACGTTACTTCAGGGACAGGTTGGTGAAAGCTGGTCTTTACTGTGCTTATACCCAGCACTGCTCCAAGCTGGACTTCTTTATCTCTACTACCAAGATGTACCTGCCACAAGTTATCCATATGAGGGAAGGTGCTGGGTGTTGCTCTACTGGGAAGGGAAAAAAATTATTTCAAAGGAAGTTTCCCCTAGTCACTGGGCTGTCCCTATGCTTACCTGTCTCATCCCTTTGTATCCAGTCCCCTATGCTCTAGACTACCACTGAAGAATTCTCGCTACAGATAAGAGTTAATTTCCTATAAATTTCATTTTATATAAATGGAATTTTATGGATAATATACTGTGGACAGAAGGCCATAATTGAGAGGCCAAAAAGGGAACCAGTTTCCAGTGCAAACTGGGACAAGACAACCCACCCCACTTCTGCCCACACAGCAAAACAGCAAAAGCATAGCTACAGCCCTGTTCCCCAGAGCTGCCCTCATTTGATGCAGGAACAGCACGATGGGAAATGGCAGCAGTGGCTTACCTTAGTGCTGGGGTGAACACTGAATAATCAGCACTGCCCTCATGGCATGCTGGGAAACTGAAGAGGCACACACCCTGAGGACTACAAAATGCAGCCCCCCGCCCCCACCACACGCACACACACACACACACACACACACGCACGCACACACACACACACACACACACGCACGCACACACACACACACACACACACGCACGCACACACACACACACACACACACGCACGCACACACACACACACACACACACGCACGCACACACACACACACACACACACGCACGCACACACACACACACACACACACGCACGCACACACACACACACACACACACGCACGCACACACACACACACACACACACGCACGCACACACACACACACACACACACGCACGCACACACACACACACACACACACGCACGCACACACACACACACACACACACGCACGCACACACACACACACACACACACGCACGCACACACACACACACACACACACGCACGCACACACACACACACGCACACACACACAGCTCATGACCACACTCAGGCTGTCTCTGTCACTATTATGATTGCTGCTTGTCTTCAGCAGACTATGGAAGCCTGTTTCCTCTCTTCTCTGCTCCAAGGGCTTTTTCTCACTCACTTCCTATTCCCACCACATATTAGACTCCTTTGGCTGTGTTGTTGAGGTCTATTCTTACCAAGTGTGTCTGTAGTTCAGTCTTACCGCCATTTCTTCTTCTTGACACAAGGTCTTACATAGCCCAGGCTCTGCTATTTTGCCTCTGCTTCCTGGTGCTGGGATTATAGTGTGTGCCACCACAACTGGTTATTAATTTTTTATTCTTAAAAAAATCCTTTAATCAACTCAGATAATGTTGGATTTTACTTTCTTGTGGTGATTTGAATGAAAGTGTCCTCCACAGGCTCATATATTTGAACACTTGTCCACAGTTGGTGGTGTTTGGGGAAGTCATGGAACCTTGAGGATGTGTATGCAGCCTGGGGAGGATGTACGTCACGGG